ATTTTCCATTGACAATGTTGTAAAACAATTGCTTCTTGCTTTAGCTCTGCATTGTCGACTTAGCTTCGACTTATTGCGTAAAATTTTGCTTTAATCGATTTCATTTGCTTTTGCCTCGTGATAAATACTTTTGTTATTTTGGGGTCAAAATTGATGTACAGCGCCTTGGAACCTTAGGATCGGCGTGTGCTATATTAACTTTTTTTTATGATTCACTTGAGAAGTTCCAGAATCGCTCAAGAAGCTAGAGTAGCTCTCGGCTGCGGTTCGAACAATTCTTTAAGCTTTCCCTCGCGTTCAATTCGTTAGGACGCAGCACGAAGAAGAAGCTAGCAATTCTTACGCTACAGCTGTCCACTTGTGCTGACTCTAATTATATGTATTGACTGTGACTCTGAAATGGAGCCGATAGAAGATCACGATACATACCTTGATCTTCTCTTGTGCCGAAATGTTGAAAATCTTTCCTCGTTGCAACAAACGAAAACTTGGTTTCATAACGAATAACGATACCTCGCTCTCGTCTGGGTTTATTGCTTTAGATTTTACAAAAGCATTAATTGTTAAAGCCCGATCCAAACGGGAAATGTTTGCCCACCAAACATGACCAAACATTTTCCCGTTTGTAGACCTTGTTTGATCGTCAGTTTGATAAGATTTACAAGTCGACAAACATTTGATCAAACACTGTAAAACATTTTGCTTGTTTGGACGGTGAACCGCATGTTTGACACCGTTTGGCCTCTCAGTTCAACATCAACATGTTTCGTCACCAAACAATGTTTGATCGTGTTTGGCTGCCAGGCATTTTCCGTTTGGACAGGACTTAAGTAATCGAATGTCGCAGAGCTATTTTGATGTACAAAGAGCACAGTTCTTTTGTACTACTGATTTTTTTAGGTTCACTTTTGTCTCACTGAAATAATTGCCTTTCATTTCAGTCAACATGACGTGCGTTGATAAGATTATCTTGGCAATTGTCGCTGCCCAAGTGGCAGTATTGGTTCCAGTGAAACCATACGATCCTAAATATGAAGAGTGGCTGCATAAGTATCACATCGATGAAAATGTGGAGCATAAAGTTTATAAAAGATCGGGTAAGAGATTTCTTTCCAGATGAAAACAAAATGGGAAACTCTGGGATTTTAAATTGTAAGGAAGAAGAAGCTAATACCATGGAGTGTGAAAACTAGAAATAGTAGTAGACTATTAGTTTAGTTTTAATTAACCTTTGGTAAACACTTGCTATCATATCACGTGACTTAATTTATGCCACGAAGCACTCTGTTGTTGTTGTTACGCCGTCCGCCATATTGGACGTGCCAGTTGAACTTACTGACCAATTATAAAACACATTAAGCATACTTCAAGGTATCCTGAACATATGTAGTCATATCACACTTGCTAAATATTACATTGAGGCACGTTTTTACACAAGAATATGTTCCACAAATCAAAATTGGTCATCCGGACAGTTTCATTTTATATCGGCATGATGGCAACATGACGATTAGAGTCCCTCCCCTCCCCCTAACCACAGATATTTTCCATGCACCTTTTCATTTAATTCTCGCCATAGAATTGCTGCTGGTCACTTCACTAACCTGAAAAATTTAAATATTTTGGCTAACACAGTCGTGGTTTAGGGGTCGTATTTCGAATTGCTTTATAACCAGGGCAATCACAACGACCAATCTTCAGAAAGCCTAAAATATCTGTCTTTCAGCTCATTAAAAACGGAAGAGTTTTGTTTTCTCCTCCAGAT